TTTTTAATAAGGGGTCTGAATATGACATACCAGGGGGTTGATATTTAGGATGACTATTACATATTTTAGGAGGCTTGTTGAACCTTAAAAATATTTACTCATAAATGAAAAACAAAATTTTGCATTCACCTTTAAAAAATTACACAACCTAGTCCATTTAAACTTCCACTAGAAATGCATCTTCAACAGTTCATTTCATTGTGCTTGTTCGTGTGTTTTGTTCTGATTCTCATATTACTGTTGGCGGCTAAATAGACATGGAACTCTGGTTTATAAAATAAATACAAAATAAAACTCCCATTAAACCAATGTCGGATTCCACAGGGTGTCCAATAAGACAGGTTTCATTGTATTGGCATATTTCACCAGTGTGATGTTTAATTTTGCTAATAGATATATTGTCATCTTGTACTTACAATCTTCCTTTTTCAGTATAGGTATGAGGATCCCCATCTTGATTCAGCGTTGCAGGCTTGATTACCTCCATTTGCTGAGTGTGTTTTTCTTGAATTATCTAGTAGAATTGAAAAGAATCGTGTACCAGGTGTTTTTTTTTATTTTTTAAATGATTTCTTTTTCAGAAAAGGCAGATTTGAAACTGGGCGGTAGTTTTTCAACTCCTCCTTGTTTATTCCAGGCTTTTTTAACAATGGTCTGACATGTGCCTTCTTGAAACACAATGGAACCTTTGACTCAACCAATGATTTGTTCATGATTGGGGTAATCAAAGGAAGCAGTGCTTCAAGGCATTGCTTTAATATGTCTGTAGGCAGTGGATCAAGCTCACAGGACTTCGATTGCGAGGTCATGATAATGTTGCGCAACTCGTCCTGGGTTGTTGGTGAGAGCTATGTCAATGGTTCCCCATCAAATGCAATGTCAGCAGTCATGACAGAGATGTCAATGTCAGCAGAGGGGTTCACTTCGGTAATATTTTTCCTTATTGAGCTGATTTTATTCAGAAAATAATCACTGAACTTGCTTGCTAAGTCTTTTTCAGATTTACAGCTTGGTAGGATAATTTCACATTTCTGTCCCATTAGGTTTTTGGAGAGTCTAAAAAGTTGTCTTTTATCCTTGCCACATTCTTTGATTTTTTCCGAATAATAAGCCTTCTTTGACTGAAAGAGCAGTGAACCAACTAGCCGACATTGCTCTCTATAAATCAGTTGGTGAATGGTAAATACATACGATATTGAATAAATATTGTTACTAGTGATGAAGATTGCAATTTATTTTTATCATAATTACTTTGAAGAAATAAATGTTAAAACTTACGGAAAAGAAATGAGCAGGTAAGCTATATAAGCTAAATAGGTATTTTATAAATCAATTCCACAGGATATGGTTCCTATCAAAAGATAGCCATATAATTTTCCTGTTCATGACTGACAGTGTTTTGGTAAGATCATAATAACAAGTAGTAATTGTAATGGGGGACAATTACAGAAGTCCCCCAAACTGCCCCAATTGTCGCAAAGATGCATCAGAAAAGGATTGCAATGCCATAAAACACTAAATTTGAGTGAAATCGAACAATAGCTGAATTTCGACCAATCAGAAGCCTTTGTGTGGTCGCTATGGCAACGAAACCTATACGGTTGAATTCGTAGTCCCCATATACCAATTTCATCAAAACGAACAATATATAAATTTCGACCAATCAGAAGCCTCTGTGTCGTGTGGTTGCTTTGGCAACGATATGAAAATGAAGACTTGAATGCACAACTGCATATGCCCATTATTAATCATGTGAAGTTTCATCAAGATGTGCCAAACGATTTTCGAGAAAAAGGTCGGACAAGTTCACGACGGTAGAAGAAGAAGAAGAAGAAGAAGAAGAAGGAGAAGGAGAAGAAGCAATTTGAGCAAAATCGACCGATATTTAATTTCGACCAATCAAATCAAAGGCCGTAGCAACCATCTTGGCCTAGTTTACTAGGATTAATTAGGAGAGGTCTTCTAGAAGTAAATAAGAGTCAACAAGGAACAAATGTAGTAGGTGTAATTCGAAGAAGTCTACTAGGAGTTTCTACCAGGACCAAATATGCTAGGAGTAATAAGGAGACGTCTACTAGGAGTCAATAGGAGACTACCTGGAGCAAATGTACTAGGTGCAATAAGGAGAAGTCTACTAAGAGTATATAGGAGTTTCTATCTGGACCAAATTTGCTAGGTGTAATTAGGAGATTTCTTCTTGGAGTAAATATGAGTCTACAGAGAGCAAATGTGCTAGGAATAATTAGAAAAATATATTAGGAGTAAATAGGAGTCTACCTGGAGCAAATGTGCTGGGAGTAATACAGATAAATCTACTAAATAGGAGTCTGTACCGGGGCAAATATGCTAGGAGTAATTAGGAGAAGTCTACTAGGAGTAAATAGGAGTCTACCTGGAGCAAATGTACTAGAAGTAATAAGGAGAAATCTACTAGGAGTAAATATGAGTCTAGAAGGAGCAAATGGACTGATATTTTGAATATCTATTTACAAGGACTAGGTTTCTCAAACTTCTGGTATTCAAAGCTTAGTCAGACTACAATTAGAATATGCTACCCCAGCTTGACCTCTTTACTAAACAAAGCTCAGCTATACGGAGCAATAGACAATGTCCTCAAACAAACGTGTTGCTATGCTCTGTGTACATGCCATTGGAAATCAGAGTTTGGTTTTACCTAATATAATAGTTAATATCGAATTATAACCATTTCAGACTAATAATACTACGCTAACTTGTGTTCTCTGCATTGCTCCCCTTCAAAGTTTTCTCCAGACTGCATCAGTGCGCAACCGAATGGTGACGTATCTAACTAGAATATCTCAAATAGCCACAGGCTTATCAACCTGGTGTCAACACAGAGGTAAACATATGTAACTATGTCGTTATATATGTTAACTTGTGTTCTATGAGCTGCTTACTATGATGTGTTAGGTTTGCTGAAGCACGTTGCTATGCTCTGTGTGCATGCCATTGGAAATCAGAGTTTGGTTTTACCTAATATAATAATTAATAATCGAATTATAACCATTTCAGACATTAATAATACTACGCAATAACCATTTCAGACATTAATAATACTACGCAAACTTGTGTTCTCTGTGGCTTCAGAGGATACATATTTCTCCCTCCCTTGTGTCTTTCCTAAACATTTAATACAGTAAAACCTCGTTATTATGCCACTTGTTGCATTTGCCACCTCGCTTACCTCCATGTTATTTCACGGTCCATATATCTCTTTTTCTAAAGATCCTTTTTTTACACATTTCGCTTGGTTTATCATCAAACGGCCCTTTATAATTCCCTTTTTAGCTGGACAAATGACGGCAGGATAACGAGATTTAACTGTATCTTTATGAAAGCATAAAAATAAAAAATACAACATTCAGAAAACATTTTATGAAACTAAAATGCTGTTGATGAGCTCCCAGGAGTTTTACTCAATTTAACGCTAAGTTTACACTGACGAAGAGGAATGTTTTCAACAATAAAATATATAAGATGCTAATTGTTCATTATTGTTTTTATTCATAACACATTATCAATAACATACTTAAAATATATAATTCATTATAATATAAATGCACTTTTAAAAAGCTGCATACACAAAATATATGATATACAATGTATTTACATATGTAGATGAATAAATTGTTGACAGAGTTACTGCCCTTGCATAGATGTGTTGTCATTTGTTTAAAACACTAATTACGCACTGTAGTTTAAATTTTACGATAAGTAAATTAAGATACACTACCTTAATATTAATGTTAGAAATATCATTTGACTAGAAATTTATTATCCGGAAGACAACTGTTTCCCTGTTTAAAACTATTATTCAAGGATTAAGTATCATATGGAAGACAAGAATATCCTGATGAGAAACAACGTTATTCAAGCATTCAGTATTTTATTTAACACCACAATATACTAATGCTAAACTATATTATTCGAGGGTCAAAGATTTTTCTGGAACTCAACACTATTTTAATGTTCATGATATTTCCGGTGTATACACTATTTCATCGAGTAGTAGCAATATCATTCTAAATTTTACAATGTTCTTATTATACGAAGCATTTTATGGAAGATATAAATAACATCGAAATATAGACAATATATGAAAGTATTCGTGTGTTTAATATTTTCACGGTCAATTTCAGAAAATGGATAATTATTTCTTGCATGACAATAAAAACATCACCATAATATATCTTATTCGAGTGTGTAATATTTTCTTGTAAATATCAATAAATACTTTAGCATACGATTATTATGTGGGATAGAGGGCTATAGGTGGTCTTTTAAACCCAAAACCCACATTGTTACTCGAGATTGCACTCTACAATCTATGATTTTATTTAAACGTTTTAAAGAAAGCGGGAGGCAGACAATTAACCTTGCGTTGGTGTAGCAAGATAAATCCTATCTCAATATTACAAAAAAATGAATTTTACGACAAATTATGTAAACATTAATAATTTCCTCCTAGCATAATTGTCGGAGAGTGATGCGCTGAAACGAATAGCATCATTAAGGTTCATTTAGCTCCCTGAAAGATGCCATAGTCACCCTCAATTTCAACCCCCTGCTAAGTCATATTCAAAGACCTCAATTAAAATTCGGAACTTATATGTATAATTTGATATATAATGAACTTGTACATTCGTTATTGAAATGGTACATAGCCAGCTTAACGTAGTCACTAATTAAGGTCGATCGATGTCTTCATAAAAATAGTTCACCGAATGTATAACATCTCCATCTCTTTTGCGACGCAACTGAGTTCTAAGAACTGACATATTATTTAACGTTTATTTCTATACTAAGGTCATGCGATGCTTGATTTATCTTTTACTAGCTGTTGAGTGGAATACCGACCTCAACATCCCCTGGTAATACATTTTAGCAGATTATAAAAATAAAAATAAAGGCTAAGTAACCTTGATCGATAAATGAACTTTATATTATGTGAATATGCTACACATGTTATAAATATTGACACTGCATCAAATGTTAAAAAAGGACAATTTATATAATGTTTATGTAATTTTTATGGTTATATCAAAAAAACGTTGTTGCTCAGACGTTCTACTATGCGCTTTATACATTCCAATATCAACAAACATCCTATTCTGAGGCCGGTATGCCTTTTAGTAAGCTCCGCATGACCTTGGTATATAAATGAACTTTAAACAGTTTATCATTTCTTAGGACTCAGTACAGCCGCAAGAGAGATTGACATATTATAAGACCGATGAGCTATTTTTTTTAATACATCAAACTTGATGCTTAAGTATTGACTACATTAAATTGGCCATTTAATTAGCATATATACATGTTCAACATATCAAAATTACACAAATATATTCCGATTTTTAATTAGGTTCTTTGAATATGACTTACCAGGGGGTTGACATTTAGGGTGACGATATCATTTTAGGGGCTTGTTGAATCTTACTATACTCAGGCAGGCCAATTCTTGCTCTATACCTAGTTTTTAAGAACGAAATAACATCTCGACAATAAATGCATTAAGGATGTTTCAACGTGGTCCTATTACTTGGTCAATTGGTTCAAAAACCAATTAATACACTAGAAGGACAGGGGATTTCCTCTCCATCCAATCGAAACAGGCCTTACATATTGATAGATGTAAGTTCGTATTGTTTTTGTTTTTGTTTTTACTTGTTTTAAAGCGTACTTATACTAGCTATTGCATAACTATGATTTTAATCAGACCGCTATGATATCACGATTATAAATATTAAATAATATTAAGTTAAGTCACAAAATATAAATTATGCAAACATTTATCACGTTTCATGTGTTATTATTTAGCACTATAACTGAAGCTTTTGCACCAAGTACACGAGTAACCGTTTGGTAAACTGCACAAATGTCTTTCAAAGACAAACGTTCTGTCATTTCCAGGACCAAACGTTGCTCTTGTATGGTTGTATTAGACTTGTAGTACATTTCAACACCAGATAAACTGTTTTGACGAGTCTTCTCTGCCCTTGTGATGCCGGATTCTGTTGTGATACATGTGAAACCATGCATGCATGGTTTCTAGGACGCCACGGGTGAATCCCTCGACGAGCTAGGATCTATGGATCGAAATTGTTTTGTTCTTCTTGAGCACTACTGGGATTTGTTTGAGTATTACACCAGGTCAAAAACAGTAGAAGGGTCAAGCTTGGGGTTAAATTTCCCTTTTTGGGTCAAAATTTAAGCTTGTGTCAGAGTTTTGTTATTTCAATGGCCTCTTCATACGGTGGTGGTCGAGAACTGGAACTTGAAGATCGCGTCCGGAACGACAGGTTTGTTCGGTAAGAATAGTTAGTATTGAATGAAACAACCGACTCCCGGTCATCAACAGTCATTGTATCGTCGAGATCATCTATAGTGTCAATAGTAAAAATGGACATGGTGTCAGAGAAAGGCATGTCCGAGGATGGAGAACTAGGTTCTTGCACAACCGGCTTATCCGGGACAACAGGGCTCACTGTAGCAGGTCCGTGGCGGCGTTTAGTACGTAACCTCCGCTTGTACCGCTTGCTGTTAAAAATATAAATTTAATATAGATGTATGCATAGCTCTATATACAAGTGATTTGTGTTCAATCCATTTGAAAAAAAAACCATTTAACCATGAGAACATAGATTTTTAGAGTGCAACATTGTAGATATCAACGTGTTTCTTATATATGTCAACTGTCAATTATCTCAAAAGATATTTATGAAACGAGCTTCAAAGTGGTTCATGAAATTTAGATGCATTCTTATCACCTGTTTTATCAAACTAAAATTAAATGTTTGTTAAAAACTATGCAGATATTGAAAGCAAGTCACTGTTGCCAATTTACTTTTTCACCATAAACTTATCACATTTTACCATCATCTCACTATCACTATTTACGTTATACATTTATGAAATCTTAATATTCAGCCAAAACTGTAAGGTTCTATAGAGCACGCTCTTGAAAAAAAGTTTACATTCCTCCAGAAGATGCATTAGCGGTGCTGCCGCATTCTCCATTGATATTAAGTTATTTCAAGAATGTGTTCTAGAGCTATAGTTTCCAAGGATTGAATTAAGATACAATCTACTGTGAAATCACTAAATTGTAAGTTTTACATAAAGCAATTATCCGTTTGATTGGGATTTCGTAATCCAAGAATTCATGGACAAAGAAATGGTATATTGTCGGGAAACCACGGAATTTGGGCACCAAGAAAATATCTGATTTCACAATAAAGGGATTGGTACCTATAACTTGTGAAGAGAAAATACTTTCTATAGAGTTCCATTTGTTTAAATTAAAACCAAATAAGTTCTTTGTGTTTCGTTATGAACTTACATAAATGGTGAAACGTTCAAAAACAGCTGAAGAAAAACTGTAAGTTTGTCTGCAAGTAGAAAAAAGGAATAATGATGATAATGTTGATGATAATAAATGTTAAAATGCTACATGAAGTGATAGTTGTTTGCCTGATAACTCCATACAGATAAAACCTTTGAGTTGCTTTATGAAAATATATATGTAAACCAAGGGAATTTCAAATGTCCAAAGTCAAATCTGATAAGGATAATATTAGGGTCTCAAATGCAGGTATGTCCCTGTACCACTTCCAAAATCTGAAGCCATGCACAGATTTACCGGACATTTCAGCGGGACTAGACAGGGATTCGAACCCTTGACTTTAGCTTGGTATACAATTGCTCTTACCGACTGAGCTTCCTGGCAAAACCATGCTACCGTTAAATCCAAATCGAAACCAAGAGAGATTGCTGCATACACTAAATAATATAATGCAGCGAAAGAGGGGTCCTTAACTGCTTTTAAATATCATTGACATCAACCAAACAGCATTTATGCAGAAACTTTGGTTAAACTTTCACGAAATATTTCCGTTTTACATAAAAGATCACAGTTCAATGCTCATCTAATTACCACTGTCTGCTATTACAAGGCACAAACCTGTGAATTTGCCACCACTCATATGTTCGCTGCAGTTCCAGCGTACGAATGGGAAGTAGCACAGCATCGAGAGGGCGGCCAGACACAGGGAAAAGATGAACTCGGGTCGGGGCTCGTTCGCAATGAAGGGCGCCAAGATTAAATAGACCGAGCCTAAGGTCACCAGGAACGGAATGATTATGTTAACCTGCGGATAAAATATTTCATAAAGTTGTTTTAAGAAATGCCCAACAGTTGAATCCTAAAAATGCTTTAGCATGATGCTCACACCTTGATCAGTTGAAATTTGTGTTTCCAAGAAATACAAATGTTTTTGAAAATAAGGGAATATGAGTTGTATGTGTTAATATAGATGTGCTCCAAAATTCCACTAGTAATTTATGAGAGTATATCTTACTTTATATGGTCTGTCTAGGTGTGGTTTTCGGATCCTCATGATAAGCAGTCCACCAACCGCAAGTCCATGGAATAACCACACGGTAAACACCCAGAAACGCACCATCTGTGACACGTCCACCGCCAGGGCAATCACTACACCACTCACCGCCTGGGAAGACACAGGTAAGCAGTTGCATTTAATACTATTATTAGCCTTATCTTCGCAAACTTTGCATGAAGGTGTTTCGCGCGAATTCTATAAATCGCTATTTACAGGTGATTTTGCAACATTGGAAGTAATTATGTATGAAACAATTACTCGCTGATGATTCAAAAGACCATCTCGTGAATATAAAGCAAAATTGATCTCTCGCAAGTGATTTATTGTATAAGCTGCTCCATTTTTGGACTTCATTGATTTTAATTACAGTTTTATCATAAACATTTGAAAAGGAGCCTACATTAATACTGCAGATGCAGTTACAATTCTTCCAATACATCCGACAGATGAACCTGAAAATGTAGGGTGGTATATTGTGTTCGGGAAAAAAGGATACATTGTATTGTCTTCAAGAAAAGCAAAAGTAACCTCAGAAGAAATAGGAGGTTTTTCTCATTATGTAGCAGCGTTCCTTTAAATTGCCAATGCTTTAGAAAGTGGGACCATCCTCAAAGAAAACTACTGATTGTCAAAAGAGTACAGTGTTCTAACAAATCATAAAGAGACGATTTATGTTTTCAAACAGAAAAGGAAGAACAGACATTCAAACGTTTAAAAAATGGTTATCATATACATTGTTTGTCATGGATTTGGGGTATAGTACATCTATACATATCAGACATAATTCAAAGGGTCCTGGTTGTAATTTTATCGTAATGCGCTTAATATTTCAAGCAATCGACTATTAATATGGGTATGTATACTTACGCGCAATATGATTGCCGGAAGTGGTGCTTTGGTTTTTACATGAACGAACGACAAGACATCCGGTATGTAGCCATCATGAACGGAGAACTGGGATAGTCTGAAATATCACCAAATATTATATACTACAAGTTAACATTGAGTGATGTCAGTTTATATGGAATAATAGCCCAGCGGTTCTGTCGAGATGAATTTTATTACGTAACCGTGGAAGAGTAAATTTGTCTTCCTTCGTTAATTGTAGCTCTATTGGTTTATTCCGTCTTGATTTTCGTACATGATTTCGTTATTATTGCATAGAAGCATGACATATTTTGCAAATTATTTGTGAATATTTTTACAAAATAAAAGTTTAATTTTCATAATTATATTGATTATAAGTAAACGTTTCTACAATTTCCAGAAAAAAACCCAGACTTTACCTGCCAGAAGAAAGAAAAGTGTTATTGGCGTTTCCTAACGCCACCATAGCGACACCTATAGGAATGATGAAAGCTGCTTTTCCAAGTGCTTTTCTCCCCCATAACTGTAAAGAAATTTGATTCACGAGACATATTAGTAATATTATAAATAGCAGAAAAATATTTGCATAAATATAGAAATAATAACATAAATTTATAAAGAAAATAACATTTTAAGACTTGTATACGGTAGACGTTTTGTGGGACTCTCCCTTAAACACCTTCCACTTTAAATATTTTTCCACTGATATTATTTTCATTCAAATTATAAATTAAATATTTAACCACGTTGACGCTTACAAACGTCTTGCAGAAATTCCAAGATAGCGTCTTTTGTTGGAAATTGGATACAACCGGGTGGCTTCAAGCACCATTATGATGGCATCAGAAACAGGTGTGACGATTTGATACAAAACCATGATGTATTAGAGCACAATTGTGATAGCTTTAGACACCATCGATATTTCTTCAAACACTACTTGTGAAGACACAAGATATCTGCATACACAGTTTTGTTTGAATTTTTACTATTATGCGTTCAAATGAAAGGCCAAACACTACTACTCAAGCGAAAAGAGATACGTACCACACCAAAGGAATGAGCTCCAACCATCTCCTCCTCTGTAAGTACAGTGAAGTATGACGTCACAGTAAGCAGGTAGATGACCATGACGGAAGGGATGATGATTTTCACCAGTCGTGGCAGGTTTCTGCGGGAAACAAAGATGATCAGAACCGTCCTGATATTGGGTCTTACTGGACTACAGCGGACCCTCCATAATCAAACCAACCATTTTTCCAAAGCGCAAATGACTGGATTGTAAAATTGTTGAACTACTTGGTCCAATATTGTACAGAAACAGACTTAGGTGTCATTATAAAACATTTTCTGGGTATTGAGACAGTTATATTAAAATTTTGGTGTGGCTTGATTAAAGAACGATGTGATAAATGACTAAGGTTGTAAACAACCTAGCAGATTCACATCGTTCATCGTGGTCCTGTTATAGAAGAACAAAGGTACAGTACTCTACCATTCAAAATACCCCTAGACGAGTCCAAAACGGCCGTATGTTTTGTATGATGCTCAACACGCATACTTATACGAGTAATAAGCCTAACCAGACAAAGTCACGCAGCGTTCCCGAACATTGGAGTGCCGAGTACTAGACCGCACGTAAAATTTCAAATGTTGGGATTCCGTGATACTCACTTCGGGGGCTTTCTGACAGCAGCCGTGACGTTGGGAACATAGGCCCTGAAAGCACACAAAGATCGACTTATCTGGTGGTCCTGTCATGTGATTCGCCGTTACTAGGCAAACAGACAGAGGGGGTAGGGAAGGGGTTAAGTAAAATTCAGACCTACCAGCCACCGTATGCCCAAAGACAGTTGTAGATCCCAATGATGATCTTGCTATGATTGGTTTCCGTGTTGTCGAATCCTTCCTTCAAGCCACCTGTTTCTCCTATCGGAAACGTGCATATAAAAACCTCGCATTATTATTATTATCATTATTATTATAACTCGCCGTTAAAGTTGTTACATGCAAAGTCGTTAATAAGCAGCTATATTTTCAGGACATAGGAAATTAATAACTGAAATAATGATGGTAATATCATATGCTGAGGTCATACCTGCTCCCAGTCTGTATGCGCCTGTGACGATGATTATGCCGATGGTAACAATTTTGCCGAGGTTAGCCAGTGATTGGATCTGCCTAGCCAGGCGGAGGCTATACGTGTTTAGAATAGCCAAACTCACTGTAAAATAAATACCAAACATATATGAACAAAACCGCATTTCGAACTCAAAATAAACGAAACAATAAATTAAACAAGGAGAGAATATTAGTGAAGAAATCAATATATGGAGACCTCTGTAAAAGGACCAAGGGAATAAGACCAGGGTCCGTTTTCATGGAACTATTGTCATTTTTAAATATGAATTCTGCACTCATAGTTATTTGACGTAACTAATTAATTCATATGACACGATCAAATTGAAGTGATAACATTACAAACGGTATTCTGCTTCCAGTCCCTTCACGATTTCTTCCAAATTTTGGGCAAAATGTAGATATTTTTTATTAATATGTAACTCAAACAAATATTGGTTTGAGCACAGAATCTTGGTTCGATCATGAGGACGGTTTCGTTAATAGCCCTCATATGTTCTGGTAGAGTGAGCAATATTACTGCTTTTATCGACATATACCGTCATTTTTGTATAGGTCAAATCCAGATAATGTCATTTCCTCAAGGTGAAAGATGGGGTAGTGACAACAAAACATCACACAAAGAAATAGAACATTTCATAATAAGATAACAATAGCCACCTAAAACAGTTTTCACCAAACCCTAATTACGTGTGATGAATGCTAGGTAAATTTAGGGGAAGCTCCTGAGTTAATGGACGTCAGCCTATTGAATACACTCCTCTAAAGCATTAACTTACTAGAAAGGAACTTATTGATCACTACAACTAATATGCCTTCAACGTTATGGGATGCAATTCAATCCTTTGATTGATAGTTTAACGTATCAATGCTTAGATAACATGACAAACGTTAAATAAAAGAAAAATACACGCGGGAGGTCGAACGAAAATACACTGACATACATTCATAATATCAAAACAACAGGAAAGAGACAAGGCTCCATACAATTGCAGGCTCTTACTGCGGAAAAGAAATTTAAAATCTAAACATTGGGAAGATAAGGTCGTCAAGTCATTAAAAGTGGTTCGCAGTGATTGTTTACCTATAACATCCTTAATGAAGAGACTGAAGAGATTATGCACGCAACTAAGTTATATCGACGGCCTGGACATTTGTCGAATTTCCTGTCAGTCTGACCCTTTGTCAAACACAAACGATAACGGATTACTCTTCACCAGGAATTTAACATGAGAACAATAATCACATAGATTTGTTCAATAATGATATAAAGGTTGAATATATCATCACTTACATATAATGGAAACCGTCAGCATTTGTTCCAGTAACTTTGGCGGCCCACAATTGTCGATAATGGCGTCTGCTATATAGTGTGCGAATGCTAGAGCGAACACAGCGGTAGTGATAGGCTCCGCCACCGCGATCCTCATCCAGGTATAGACAAAAGACGGCAGCGGACCAAACGCTTTGTGAATATACCCGTACTCGCACCCGTCCCGCTTCACAAAGATCTGCATCTCGGCAAAGCAGAGGGCCGCTGTAAGTGAAGAGGAAATATTAAATATTGCAACGCTAGCATTCCTTCAAATTTGCAATGTCAGATTGTCCGAAAAACAATATCCAGCATTATTCATACTATTAACTGATTAAAAGTAAACTACTTCAACACCATTTTATGTCGTTGGGTATAAAATGGCGTAAATCAAGTGGTCTACAGTAGTCATATGATGGAGAAATGTTGTATTGATAAAATAAAACTAAAATGAAAACCCAAACGAACAAACAAACAAACAAACAAAAAATAACAAAACAAAACAAAACAAAAAACAACAAAGCATTCCCGCATTTGATATGAGAAAAAAGTATTGTTTTGGCTTTAAAACAAATTGATGCTTTATATCATATTGACATTTTCAAATACTCCGAAAGGTTGAATTCTTATATAAAAGAGTATATTTATTAGTTGACAAATAATGATGGCTCTAAACATTAATAACATTCAAACTTTAATAGTTTCATCAAGATGTTCTATTTCGGGACTGAAACAATTTCAGGACGACCAAAAGATTTACTAAAATGACATTGACCGAGTTTATTGATACGCCTTTGAGTTGTCCGCATTTGTTTTGCTCGACGCATTCATCATCTTCTGAAACGTAAACATCCAAATCGATATAGACCTGAATTTATATAGACTATTCACCTTGACATGTCACTGTAACCGAGACCAAAAAGAATTATCTACTGTTGAAAAACGTAAAAGTTTGACACGGTTTGACATAATCCCATGTTGAACCCTTTTCACCTCCTTGTCACTAGCGTTCCTGCTCGACACCGGAATTGCTCACGACGCGTATGGTGTTAGCCGACGGTATGCCATGATGTTAAATTAATGTGTTTATTTAAGGTGGTGCCTTGTTTTATATGGAAGCATATTTGATTTTGAAAGAGACAACTACTCAACGTTGAAGAATATAATGTCTTACGGGTTTCCATTATCAAATAAAATCAAACTAATGTAAACGGTGACGTGTTTGTATATGTCATTTGCGTCTAACCATATAAAATGCACTAGAATACAGACGGTCATCTCGATCAACATTAATTAAGTAAGGCAACTTGCAGAAGTAATAAAAATAAAACATAATGTTGGTATGTAAACGATGAAGAGTTTTTAAAATGTACCAGCTCCATTTTACTAATAGACATAACAAAAGAAGGAAAACACATTTATCGTTTGTTTGAACTCTTACAACAGTAAAAAAAACAATATACTTGCGTACCAGATTTTATAAAACCGAGTGAAAAAGCACAAGCGAAAACGTCCCAGACAAACTAATCAATTTCAACCTCAAACTGTCGGTCACAACAACATTCATTTTATACAACCCCTCCGACCGCCTAAAAAATATACCAATGTTTGCATTTTCGAGTTTAAAAGGTTGTTGCATTGATGAATTTGCACAAAAATAAATGAAATAGCAAAATATACATTATATCACTTTACACTTATAATCAGCCCTGTATTATAAGATTATCGCTTAGATATGTTCGGCGAAACCTGAGCGCGTGAAGGCGACATGATGTTTTATTTCCCCATCATGTGACCAATATCATCCAATCAGACACATTGTTATAAAGATGAGGTATGATACTATTATATACATGTTTAAATATATTTTGGTATGATTACCTACCCATAGTGGTGAATATACCACATATTGCCCAGATCACCAAGTTAAGTCCGACTGACCCCGCGGCCTCGGTCACTCCCTTTGGCGAGGTGAAGATTCCGGGACCTACAGATAGACGGATGTATTAGAACAAAACATATACTGAATAAGATTCATCAGTTTTGTATGAATAATGAAGGCCAAGTTTGTTTTGAACAAAAACAGGAGTTGAAAACTAATTTTTTGAGCCTTTCGAAAACGTCTGTTTGCTTTGCCAAGCAAAGAGTGTAAATGATTGGTGTCTCGACTCTAAACCGCTGAAAACATCAATGAAGTCATGATTATCTGTCACAAATCTTAGAAACAGTTTGCTTCTAATTGCACTATTTTACTGCTAATACTGCAGGCAGCCATGGGGAACGGTAACATGATTACCCATTCCGCCCCTTATTGCAATTTGGCGAAACGTCTCCATGAATTTTAACAGCTGTATACCAGGACATTTTCTGCTGCAGTTTAATTTTTCTCCTTTTCTGCCCGACGAAATGACGGCGTATTCGTCGTTGCATCAGTAAAGAACATGATATGCATAGTAATTATATCTGAAGACTAAATTATCACTGGGCGAATATGGATTTTTTCTAGCGGAGGGCGAAAGTTTGACTGGGCGAAAATTTCACGTATACAGTACCATGCGCTTCATTCTATTTTATCAAGAGAAAAAAATGATACTCATTTGGTTTGAGGATAAACAATGACACAAGTTAAATACTGTGCGATCAGATATTTTCATTGAATCCAAGGTAAATGAAAATGCGGATAACGAGTACCCTATCAAATGGGAAAATGCTTGATATCAAACTTGTAATTATTTTTTGGACCTATGAATTCGTGGATAAAGATTGCCCAAGAAATCAACAAATTAAAAAAAACCTCGAAAATTAATGATTTCATAATACAGGAAACCATGTGTAACGTTGACCAGGATGTAGACATATACTGAAGCATGATTTTGTCTGTTAAAACATGTCCGTTCATGAGATGACTAGGACTGTCATAATCCCATAGGCAGAAGTGTAAAATTCATTCCTCCGGAAACGTATTGATAAATGAACTGATGATTTTGACTGAAAACAAAAACAGATTCTCGAGTGTAATTTTCATTCATGAATATATATATCCACGAAATAATTAAAATTTTGATATAAAACCATTCTCCGTTTGAGCTGGTACTCCTTATCAACGAAGTGATGCATAAACGAACTCAGTTTGCATTCATATCATTTATTAAAGTCATGACCGGGCTGTTAGCGTCATCATTATTATGACGTCATAATTTGACGTTGGTTATATATACATGACACTCCCTGGAACATGGTAGTTTTTTCTTTGATCAAGCAAGATACGATGCATACACTTATTTGCACCTAATTCTGGATTCGTAAGTTAATAATAATTTCCGCACATTCAAGAAATATACGTATTTAGTCAACATGTTAAGCACTATGATATGATCGTTTGCACGTTTGCTCGTTTGTGTGGTAAATACCTGCTGAATGATATCTTGTTTCTTATCAACATAACAATTATAAAGATTCAACCTCGTCACATTGCCGTAAAACCCGGGTCAAGATCACATGACGTCACACGATATCTATCACAAAAGGAACTGTGTGATAAACTGTAAACACGTCTCTGACAATTCAAAAAGCCTACAAGTACTTGATATGGCTGCAATATCTGCGCATGCATACTTGTTATTGATATTAAACATACTGTTAACTCATATATTTTCGCATATTTTAGCAAACTATGATTGTATGTATTACTGGCGAATACAAGGTTTCCAAATTGAGAGTTGTGAGAAATTTCTTCAGTATATTGATAGCATTAACATCTAATTAATATCCATGGACGACATTATTAGGGGAACGAGTCTCCTAGGAAAATTGTCACTAAAGTACCGAGAAAGGAATATATATGAAATTGTCGATAACAGTAGGTCGACGCAGAGAGCCAAAGAAAGTAAATGTTTTCTGCACCATATTGTTTTTTGAACAGCAGTCAACCTTGCTGAATAATAGTTAAACAGCAGTTAACCTTGCTAAATGATATTTAACCAGCAGTAAAACTTGCTGAATGATAGAAAACCAACAGTTAACCTTGCTAAATCGTAATTAACCAGCAGTACAACTTGGCGAATGAAAGTTAACCAGGAGTCAACATTGCCGAATGATAATTAAACATCAGCCAACCTTGCTAAATGATAGTTAATCGTTTTAAAAATGGATGAAATGATTCCTTTATTTTGTATGGAGCTTGCTGAACAGATTGCAATGCATGTCCTGTTAAAAGTACATGATTAACTATTTATAATAATCTGTGTTGTTATACATGTACATCTTAATAAATGTCCAGGATTTTTTTTTCTGTCCGCGTGCATGCATATATGGGCATGATAGAATTGACAACTTTTGGCCTCGATTTGGACCAAATACTACGTTTTTGTTTAATTTTCTAGTTTAATATATTCATGGATATGTTGTGCTGAACCTGCGAATGTTAATGCAGGCTTTGAAAATGCGGCGCTAGAAAAAACATCAGCTCACAAGGCCCGTCCCGTATCTCACAAACGGACAACGTCCAACTCGTCAAACTGTTTTGAAGGCAGTAGGGAAACCGTTATCATCGTTACGTACTCACCGATGACAGTCTGCATTATGAGTGAGCCGCCAAATAACAAGCCGACCTCCTTGGATCTGCTCTTCTTCTTTGGTTGCCGTAATACCTCATCGCGGTATGCACCACGTGACTGTGTCGTCACCCATACTGATACGTCATACAGGTCTGTCTGACCTGAAGTGTGCCTCCCGTGCCCGCTGTTATTGAAACGCTTCCTCGCTAAAAGTAAACCAAACGAGATCTATAGTAACAGTGGGTAGAAAGAGTTAATAAAAAGAAATCATTTGAACATGTATGTATATTTCTTCAGTAGAAGGAATGATGCAAATAAAAAAAAACAATACATTAACAATAATTGATTTAAAACCTTCATTTTAATGTCTGACACTCTTGATAAATGTTAACCTTTTACATTTTCAAAATTATGCAAGATATATCGAAAGTCGTAGTTTAATATTGATTAAGAATGAAGTATGGAGGTTAACATATACTCAAATGTCAACTCATAAGGTTGATATCTACAACTACGTCAACACGTTAAAAGAAAACATACACTCCAGCATCTATGCATAGGGCAAACATGTAACAAAACATTAACACAGAAGGACAATATCTACAGCAGTGTCAACACAGGGCAATATATACCATGTCGTGAATGCAGGGCAATATATACAACAGTGTCAACACAGTGCAATATACACCACAGTGTCAACGCCGGGCAAAATACACCACAGTGTCAATACAGGGCACTAACTGCCGCAGCGTTAACGCAGCAACAACACAGGGCAATAATACCACAGTGTCAACACAACAATACATGACAATATCGGCCAAAGTGTAAACACAGGGCAATATTTTCATATATTTCGCAACGTCAACGCATGGCAATATATACCACAGTGTCAACGCAGGGAAATATATACCACAGTGTCAACGCAGGGCAATATCTACCACAGTGTCAACACAGGGCAATATACACCACAGTGTCAACGCAGGGCAATATACACCACTGTCAACACAGGGCTATATCTGCCGCAGCTTTAACACACAAGAACACTTTGTCACCACACATAGACATTAACAAAGTGTCTATACACACACGGATCTTTGGTAGAAAACCCTGTTTTAAGTTATGTAGTGTTCATCAGAGGTTCTATCGATATATTGCAGATCTTTAACAATCATTTAATTTTTAATTTTTAATCTATATAGAGTCGACAGTGATCTTGTATTTATGTGCGGATATTTTTGTATTTGATTTTGAAATAGTATTTTATCAATTTTCATTATATTATTCTTTTTAAGATCCGTTGTCATGTCTAACGAAATCAGATAGTCGTTGAGACCGGAAAGGAGACCACACGTGTTTATCGTACACAAACAACTACTCATAGCGAGATAAGGGGAAAGATACGTGTTTTATGAATGAAACTCACAACTGTGAAACTAAAGTGGACATTCTACCGAAGGCTAAAGTCGCACTCCCGATAATAATCTTAAACCTAAGGGGACTTCGACTCACATGTCTGTGACATTATAGGTGGGCAATGTGAATCTCTCATTATGTTTAACGGTGAAAAAAAATTGAAAGTGACACACAATTCATTTAAATGGGGAAAAATGTCTTCTGGTTCTGATCCATTAGCGATTAAACGTGTTGGTTTTAAATTTACAGGATTTATCTGTAAATTATATTCCCTCTTGTTGACTCAGATGTTAGCAGGATGTCTTAATGTAAGAGGAAACCAAAGTTCCTTGAAAAAATCCCCATAGTCGAGAAAGTGAACGATATCATTTCGTATCCGATCGAGGAATCGAACCGTGGTCGTCTATATGAAAAACCAATACGCTACAAACTACACCACCCGACCACCTAAAGTGTAAAGATGGTGTTGTAAATCACTAATAGTTCTGTACATTACGGATATATTTGGTACTAGCAACAAAACAATACTGACAGCAACATGTATAATTGGCCTGTAGTCTTCACCTGTTATCTAATGCTATTGGCAATACAATCGACCTTCAAAGTGGGTCAAGGTTAAATCTATTGAACAAACTTGAATAACAATCAGTCTTACACGACAGGAAAAAATAAAATTACTTTACACCATGAGGACCTTTGCAACACAAAACTGTTAAAAATTGTTTAAGATCATTTATTTCTATCTCAGTTTTTCGGATCTTAAGAAAGGATTGTTCAAAATTTGAACAAGGTTGCCCCCTGTAACCTTAATGGTAAATTAGGTACAGTCACCCGAACAAACTCGAAAACCATTCGCTACAACTTTCTACAAGCAAAAAATGTCATGACCCTATGGCTCTTTGTTATATAGTAGAAGCTGTTTAAAACTTTGAAAATATTTGCTTCATGTGACATTGAAGGTTGGCCAAGATAATTAATTCATTTGTCATATCAGATGTTGTAAATGTACTTACATTTCCCGAAACATCGCATTACTACGAGAGGTGAAAATAAAAGAGCACTCGATGTTTTTGCAATTATCTATTCAGGAATATTCACACATATATACTGTGAAATCAGATACTTTCGTGGGGTCCAAGTTTAATGGTTTCTCCCAAAAACACACCATTTCTTGAGTACATGAATTCGTATTTTACGGGTGTCCTTTCATACCGAGAATAGCTTTAATTATGCCTTACCTAGTAATCATTTCACGGACCTACTAATTGGTGCAGTAAGATTACCCACGAAATCAACGAAATCAAACACCTCACAAAATCTAGTGATTTCACAGTATATAAATATACGTGTATATTTATTAAATCCAAGCCTTTAAAACGTCTAAAACTAAACTAAAAATGGACTGATCGAGAAATTTAGCAACTGAAAGCACGAGAATTCCACGTTGATTCAGTGCATATTTGTGTGGTGAGACTCGTAGATAGCGCTTTTAGTTCTTAGAAAGAAACCCATCGCACCTCCGTTATCTTTTATCATTTTATCAAAGTTTTCATATGTTAATGGTTAATGGCAGAACGTGGATTTGGGGATTTTCCATCACGCCCTAGCTAAACAACATCACATATAAATAGATTGTTTGCATCTACTCGAAGCGATAGCTCCTCGTTATGAACTCTATATGAAGAAAAGTTATAGGGCAACGTGTACTTTACCGTAAAGAAGTCATTGTAAGCAGAGCTGTTGACTTTTTACAATGAAATACAGATTACACATATGCAAGTATGGCCTTATCAGGGATACGAGTGTTGTCTTGTCTCTATAAACAAATTGGCTTACGGCGTTTCAATAAGGAAAGAACTCATGTAGTGTGTATTTTGTTTCTGAAACGTTAGGTAAATGTTGTAAGAAAGTAAATATAATCACGAGTACGGGAACAATTGGTTGTAATTGAAATATGCGTTAATATGTTTATTTTATATAAATCAACTACATTGCAGCCATCTTTTAGAGTTAACACATATAGTAGATATTAATAACTAGGCTAAATTGAAACTTTTCTCCATCTATATAACTTAGTATTAAATAATGTTATATCGTGCTTTTCAATAATTCTTCAGCTTCACTTTTGTATGCGTTTCGAATGTTCAATAGTGGACATAATGAGCTCAAAGATGCTCCTCAACACTTTTATATACGAAATTGTCACATTTTTTCTTTCCCTTTAACAGATCCTCATAAAACACATGTCCGACAACAGGTTCACCACTTCGTGTGTTATCGTTAATCCCGTAGGATTAACGATCATAGATCCGTAGTATGAAAACAGTTAAACATCTCAGTGCACCTACGCCTTCAGTAGAAGGATTTATACCAATCTTACGTCAGGGTCATATTTGACGACTGAAAACCCGCAATGTTTGTAAAGACTCGGTTGTTTTTTATCTTGAAATATTTATTGAACCTATTTGTCCCTGTTAACACGACTTTTGGTGATTTATGAGCTTATTTGCTTGAGAGAATGATTTCTTTTCTATAATTTCATTTTTACTAATCAATTTATTTATTTTTTGTTCAGATATTTCAATGTTTTCCTATTCATTTACTTAATCATGAATAAATCATCTTTAGTGATTTCAAACATTTAAATTGTTGATCTTCTACAGAAATATCATGCAAGAAAAATAGTTGCTAAATTGTTTTTATTTTTAAATGGAATATTTTAATAATATCAATGTTAAAAATAATATTATAAATATATGTGTAGCTAGAATAAGTTGATTGACATATATATAGTTATGGTATATATTAATTGTATACGCAAATATAAATGTTCGATATGAACATTTTAAAAATCACTGTCCTCCTGATACTTGTTGTGAGTCGGGACTCCTATCAGGACGAAACAGCGTTGTGATGCAGTGTAATTCATTTCTGACATACCATATATATTACCAAAAAGTACAGTCACCTGTGTGTATGTGTTACTTTCATCTTTCATGATATACAATTGATTATGATGAGAAATGTGATGTCATATTTATCTTATCTTTTCTTTTTTCTTTCTTTTACGAAATAATTTATAAACGGATAGTTTGTTGAAACGTAAGATATATTTTATTAAGAAAAAAAAATCATGCCTAATGTCTGTTTACTGAAAAATATATATAGCAGCAAAATTATAAATTATAAATCAATATCAAACTACAGTTTTAATATTTATCACATACATCGTTAACATGTTAACGAGATATGTATCTATTTCTGATAACCTGTAAAATAATTATAATCTCCTCTAATGTGCATTCAATTTCTCGTCTTCACTACTACTGTCAACATTAGATAATAGAATTAGATGTCACGAATAATATTATGTCATTTGGTGATCCGATTATATATTGATTACCCCCTCCCTTCACCAACCATCCTCATAGTTTACTAAGTAAAATTAAACATCTGTCTTACCTGCATATCGGCTCATTGTAAAGCTTGTGTTCTCAGTCGGATAATCCTAATAGTAATGAATCTTTGGGCACACGTGACCAGAGTTACCAGATCTAGCCTGTCGCTGTTATCGTAAGTATAGGTCGATCTGTTTATCTTTATCTGAAGTAATCGGGACAAACTAAAGACAACACACAGACGCATTTAGAAACAATTCATGTCTGATTGTTTTAGAATTAAACGAAAACGTGTGTAACAAAGTTTCTGATTGATTCACCCATCCGATTTTTATCTAATTTAAAAATGTTTTTTTACCAAAACGTGCTATCGCCCTATACAAATTGGTTTCCGAGGTGAATTCCCGTATCTGTCCGGTTAGTAATATCAATATTTCTGTTATCTCTTCAGTCAAAGGTAAGGAACTATGAGGATACTTGGGTAAGATAAAACAGTCTTGTATTGTTTACAATCAACACGAGGAGCTTCAAACATAAAGGACCCGCTGTAGAGATTCAGAAACATATATTTAATATCGAACACCCATATCATTTAAATCTAGCGCAACACTGTGATTCAATCTTTGATAACATATTTAACTATACTATGTTAATCACATTGTACTTAAAGCGCGATATATTATGATAAAGTATACTTTAAAATCAATTTTTTAAATATTAACTTTAATAAAAAAAAAAAATGAACAAAGGAAATAACAGTATATCGAAGAGGAAAAAATTCATAACGCTGATTAAAAAATGATTAAACTGGCATGACAAGTCAAACGGAAGCATTGCAAAAAAGTGTGTCCTGCTTTAAAGGCGACAGTCGTCAGGTAAATATAGGTCAAACAATATCATGTTCCCAAGAGGAGAACCGGGGAATTGTAAGCCATACTCGTATACCACCATATGTTGTAATGAAGCATAGTTTATCACACCCTGTAACAACTAAACTTACTCTACACTTGTATTACTACGTGTTCTACAGAATATTATATCAAAACGTAATCATATTATAATAAACCAATTTACAGTGAACGAGTTTTGTATGTCCTTGATTCAAAATGGAATACCTTAACATTTGTTTTTTTATCTTTTTGTTTTACAGTGTATCTTTTACTAATTTCAACCGAAGGAATGAGCATTGTTGTCACAAACGATAATGTATAAGCAATGAGAGAATCCTTTTTTATTTCTTTGGAGTGTGATAGAAAATATTGCGTTTTTCATATATTTTGAAGATTGTTTTCACGCGTGTTTTTTTAATACCATACCATTATGAACGAAATATTAATAATAATTCTAATCATTGATTTTAAAATAGTTTTCAAACCCTGGTTACAACATTTCAGCAGACATTTTACTTTTGTCTGCACCTTATCTTGTGTCAAACATGTAATTTATAAGGCGCATTCATCAATCGAATACGGTCATATTTTGTGTTGCTTTATATCTTAAGGATCTTGCTAATCGAATACGGTTATTTTTGGTGTTGCTTTATAACTTTTGGGATTACGCAACATTATTGATACATAGTAGATTGAAAAGAAAAATAAGATTAATGTCGATTTTCCGAAATTTCCATTTCGTGATAGTACATGTAATATTGATTATGTCTCTAGGTCGCATGTGATTTGAGATTCACGGGCTTGCTGAATTTCAATTCTCGTAACAAATGTCGACAACTGACAGAAAAACTCACAACACCAGGTTTTGAGTGATGTACGCTGGTGAAAAATATATCTATGGTCGTCATCATGATGTCATTTGGAAATACTATTTTTCGGTTTGTGATGAAAAGGTTGAAATTGTTTTCAATGCTTGTCACCAACCCGATTAGCTTTTTGGAAACATGACATTACTTTGATTTGACAAACGGTCATGCTTACATTACGGTATTATCTTTTTTTCTTCTCTTATTTGATATATAAAAAATGAATAATGCATTACATTTTAAGTTTGCCAATCACTATCATGTGAGTAAAACATGATAATGATTGGCAGAAAGTATCAAAGATTCCAAACCAAATTATTTTATTATCAGGTCAAGGCAAATTAACCTTTGTTAAAAAGTAAGCAAATGTGTTGTAAGCCGTAACCCGTTCTATGCTGAAATACTTATCAGCACATATGTTTACCTAGCCTTGTTTTCAATGTCAATGCCAGCCATGTGATATTGATAGACATAGTTGGTAATATTTTGAGGTTTTACTATTGGGACGCCTATCCGACCACGTGGGTTTTACCCGGGTACTCCGGTTTCCTCCCACATTAAGACCCTCTGCGCTCTTTTAACCGAGCCAACAAGAGTGATGAATAATAGCTGAGAAAACTTTCTCACAATTGTTGTAAAATAAATCAAGCTTATACTTATATTTAAAACAATATAATCATATGGTTCATCGTAGTTAATTGTAACAATATAAACAGTGCGTCTTAAAGGTGAATATCGTCCTATATCTAAGTAATGGAGCATCTTCTTACGAAACAGTAAACCATGACCTTTAGAGATAGGTAATGACGACAACAAGAATATCATTGCACTCTGTCAAGTTTATCGGATAAGTCCGAGATGATGAAGAAATCGGATATCAAGTCAATATTGACATCACCAAGTTGTTGATACAGTGTACACATGGTTATTGATACAGACAGACTCTGCATTACACTACGTACTGTATAGGTATGGATATGTTAGGTAACACCGACAGTTATACTATTTGGTGAAGAATTTAGACTATTTGTGCTTCACAGTAAATTTGTAATTATCTTGATATGGGCAATCCTTCATCTTCAATTCAGAACATGCATGGAATGCGTTGTACGTCACAGTACAAAAATCATCGAGGTCACCGGCATAGTGATTTAGTACCAGTCACAAACACATTAGTTAATCACAGCTATGTCACTTTGAAAGTACCGATTTTCATACTTTATCATAAAAATCAGTATTGATGTATGTTTTACAAATATGAAATTTAGTAATCTTAACAGATTAGAATCAACAATAATGTTTAGTCTGTCAAACTCTGAAAATCAAACTTTTGAACTAAAATGTACAATTTTATCACCTTGATAGAATTGTTTTCATTTACCTAGTGAAGCCTTACAATTGCCAACCTTGAAGAGTCACAGCGCCGTCAAAACAAGAGTCTAGCATTCCTCTTCATATTAAAGCGAGCATAAGCTATCTTACAATAACTGCAAAGTGATAAGCTGATTATTTTATCGAAACAGACAAAATAGAAAAAAAAATTATAACGGAAATATCATACGATCACGGCGACCGGCTTAACGGACTTTTTGAAAGAGAAGATTTAAGCACAAACGCTACGTGATCAAAAATGATCCCTTTGCATTGTTTTAAATTTTCACAAAAAAATACACGCTGATTTAGATTGTCTTCAATTGCTTTTTGCTTTCCTCTTTTCGATATTTAGATCTGTCTGATATCATTTATTTTAAACATACAACGCATATAGCTATGTTTCATTACTAAGCCACATCGCTACTGTATCAATGTAAATGTATCGATAATGTAGTGTTTACATGTATAGATATATATCATGACTTTGCTTTGAATCCTGTATTCCCATTGGTTCCTTCGTTGACACATTAATATTATAAGCACTGACCCAATATTGGTTTATTGTTAAGTATGATGTCACTACAATATGACAATTAAGACATTCACTCAGTTGGGCTCATTGCTTAATTTTTCACTCATTCCTCTTTCGACGTCAATTTCAATTAAAATTTCAACCTGTTTGCAAACACCTGCGTAATCATCTGCGTGATAAAATTTTGAGGAATGTTCACCGACATGATATCATATTGATCTTGTTTCTGGACAAACGAACCACACAAATCAAACTTGTGTCCAGGATGAGCTCACATCTGTATCTGACAGACCGAGATGACGATGTATCTGGACGAGTTTTCGGTACAGATGGTTCGACAATAAAACCCTTTAATACAAAACAAATACGGCCTGCCACACCCGTTAGTGTAGACCATCTAACACAGATAAATACTGTTTATTTTAGAATCACCTTATCGAAGCGTCTAAACACAAATACACACTATTTATTTATAATCCAGACCATTAGTCTGGACCAGACAGCAAAATATGTTACTTAAATAGAAAGCACAAATTCCGGAAACACTGACTGGATACTAATTAACGAAACCGACATCATTGACCATTCTATACTGTCAAATTCTGTCCCTATCTGACCTGTCGCGACGCTAAGGTCACAGTCAGGTCAATACGCCAGTTTTCCATTGATCCTGCGTCGTGACACACAAAGACAATAATGGATGAGGCTGGTCCTCATTATGGTATACCTTTGGCAGACAGGTACTACACGATATAGACATAACAGATTTCTATTAAAATTAACATGAGAAAACATGCATATTGCTTATCGATTCTAACTTATATAATTTTAAGGAAAATCTATAAGATGGAAAAGATAACGTAATACATACACGTTATTTCACTTCTAAAATTTGGTAACATTTGGTACCATACGGCTTTCTCGTCCTTCTGATCTAGGTCAATATACCATACGGCTGTCTCGTCCTTCTGATCTAGGTCAATGTACCATACAGCTGTCTCGTCCTTCTAGGTCTAGGTCAATTTACCATACAGCTGTCTCGTCCTTCTAGGTCTAGGTCAATGTACCATACAGCTGTCTCGTCCTTCTAGGTCTAGGTCAATGTACCATACAGCTGTCTCGTCCTTCTAGGTCTAGGTCAATGTACCATACAGCTGTCTCGTCCTTCTAGGTCTGGGTCAATGTACCATACAGCTGTCTCGTCCTTCTAGGTCCAGGTCAATGTACCATACATCTGTCTCGTCCTTCTAGGTCTATGTCAATGTACTATACAGCTGTCTCGTCCTTCTGATCTAGGTCAATGTACCATACAGCTGCATCGTCCTTCTAGGTCCAGGTCAATGTACCATACAGCTGTCTCGTCCTTCTAGGTCTATGTCAATGTACTATACAGCTGTCTCGTCCTTCTGATCTAGGTCAATGTACCATACAGCTGTCTCGTCCTTCTAGGCAAACCCCAGATTCTAAGAAATCCTGAAGCAGATTCTACCGCCTTAGCAACTATGTTTTCATGTACATAAGCAGCTTAATACATATTAACATTAATAAAACTAAAAACTCCATTGAAGTCTAGCCAACGATGTCACATTATACACTTAAATTTAAATAGTCTTCTTGTAATTTTGTCAAATATGTTTGGTGA